AGGCAGCACAGACGGTGTTTTTGCGTCCTTCTCCTCAATCATCTATAGCCGATCTCTAGGCCCCGGGCCATCGCGAGGCGGGATGTTGCGAGTGTTCAAAGCTTCGGGCGACGAACTCTTTTCGATGGGATTTGAGGAGTTCGTGGCAATGGCCCCTGAAAGTGAGCAGCCAGACACGGCCCGAGCTATCAAGTGCCATGTTCAGCGTGTCAGTGGGCAGTCCCGCTTCAAGCAACGGCTCTTACTTCTGGATGGCCACATGTTATCAGATGATTTCGTGTTCAAAAGGCCAACAGATGTCCAGCTCATATTGGAACGGTTTGCAGTCAGCTCCGAGGACCAAATCTTCCAACTCCAAAACGCCGCAGGCGTCAACGATATTCAAGTAATGGAGCAGCTTCTGCAGAGGCCACAGGATCCAGATTTGGAAGTGGGAGGATTGCCGCCTGCTCTGCACTTTGCAAGTGGCAACGGCCATACCGAGGCTGCCCACTTGCTTCTCGAGGCCAATGCTGACAAAGATAGGGCGTTCACACACGATGGCACAACTCCTCTTCATTATGCATGTGATTATGGCCAAGTGGAAGTAGTTCGGCTATTGCTAGATGCAAACGCTGACAAAGATAAGCCCGCCAGCAATGGCACAACTCCGCTGTTCTTTGCTTCAGCGGAAGGCCGCTCTGACGTCGTTCGCTTGCTGCTGGAGGAGAACGCTGACAAGGATAAAGCATCCAATGAGTTTGGCACTCCGATATTCATCACGGCACACAAAGGCCACTTGGACGTCCTTCGCCTACTGCTGGAGGCAAAGGCTGACAAGGATAAGGCCACGCAGGATGGCCAAACACCGATTTTCGTGGCCTCGCTCTACGGCCAATTGGAAGTCGTTCGCCTGCTGCTGGAGGCAAATGCCGACAAGGATAAGGCTGTGGAGGATGGTCTAACTCCGATATACGTTGCGTCACAGGAGGGCCACTTGGACATCGTTCGCCTACTGCTGGAGGCAAATGCTGACAAAGATAGGGCTACGGGGAATGGTTCAACCCCGATGGACGTGGCCTCGCACATCGGCCACCTGGAAGTCGTTTGCCTACTCCTGGAGGCAGGCGCTGACAAGGAAAACGAAAGCAACCGTGGTGGGGCTCCGATACTCGCTGCAGCACAGGAAGGCCACTTGGAAATCGTTCGCGTGCTGCTGGAGGCAAATGCTGACAAGGAGAAATCCGGCATCGATGGTTCGACTCCGATATTCCTGGCGTCACAGGAGGGCCACTTGGATGTCGTTCGCCTACTGCTGGAGGCGAATGCTGACCAGGATAAACCCGGCAAACACGGTGTAACTCCAATGTTCATGGCGTCTCAAGCAGGCCACTCTGACATCGTTCGCCTGCTGCTGGAGGCGAACAGTGACATGGATAAAGCCGCACAGGAGTCTGCAACTCCGATATTCATCACGTCACAGAAAGGCCACTTGGACGTCTTTCGCCTACTGCTGGAGGCGAAAGCTGACAAGGAAAAGGCTACAGAGGACGGTGCTACTCCGATTATCGCTGCCTCGCACGCAGGCCACTTGGAAGTCGTTCGCCTGCTGTTGGAGGCAAATGCTGACAAGAACAAGGTTGATGACCGAGGCGCAACTCCGATACTGGCGGCATCAGATGCAGGCCACTTTGACGTCGTTCGCTTGCTGCTGCTTGCCAATGCTGACAAAGACACGGCTACAGAGGATGGTTCAACTCCGATTAACGTGGCCTCGCGCAAGGGCCACTTGGAAGTGGTTCGCCTGCTGCTGCTTGCCAATGCTGACAAAAACAGGGCTACAGAGGATGGTTCAACTCCGATTAACGTGGCCTCGCGCAAGGGCCACTTGGAAGTGGTTCGCCTGCTGCTGCTTGCCAATGCTGACAAAGATAGGGCTACAGAGGATGGTTCAACCCCG